CTAACCAGAAACCCGGCTCATTCTTCCAATTCGGGGGAATTCGAGCGCCCCAGTCAAAAACCCTCCCATGGTGACAGTAGGTGATAATGAGTACACCATCCCCGTTCACAATTTTCCTTTGAAGCCTTAAGCAGTCTCGAGAATGACAATCCTGCTGATGATGTTGCTTCACACGTCTCTGACGTAGATGATTTTGGGATGAAGTGGAACAAATTTTTTCTGATGACAATCCACCCTTTTGTTTGCACATAACTTCCAATGCAACCATAGGCCCTATAGTGCAAGCATTTGTTCATAATGCGCCCGTTCATTTGTTCATGGACTCTGGTGTGCAAGTCAATATTATCAGGTCTAGTTTGTTTAGGGATAAGCAGTTACATGTCCTCGTAGAACCGACTCATGTGTCCTTCCTTAGTGGAGTAGCTGGTTCTCACCTGCGTGTCCGAGGTCGGACTTCCCTCACCTTTTCTATCCAAGGTAGAGACTTCACTGCTTCCTTCCTTGTTGTCGACCAGATTACTTTCCCTGGTGACCTTCTACTGGGATTTGCTTCCATGCGAGACTTACGCATTGTGCTCGACCCTTATCGATGGCATGCCCAAATTGATGACTTAATCGTACCATTTTGGGGTTACCAGCTTGGATCTGAGATCTTCCATACTGCTGCAGAATACGACGTTTGGATTAAGTCCTTACAGGCCAGCGCATTTTCCAGTAGTGTACCCAAGCGGTCAGGCACTGATGATCCTGTCACTCCTGTCTGTGTTCCTGCAACTTCAGGCTTGCAAGATAGTGTCCAATTACCTCAAGTGTCCGAGGACGCTCTGACTACCTTGAGCGCTGAGCCTATCCCTGCAATGTCTGCTAGTTCAAGTAGTAGTTTCTCCAAAGGGGACGCCTTGTCGGAAAACGATTACTTGCAATTAGTAATGCCATCTCTTGCTGATGTCACATGCCGTCTGCAGAAAGACGTTTCTGTCGCAGCTAGTGCCCTCACTGGAGTGTCTGCTGTTGTTCCTAGTGTTCCAGATGGTGATAACGTCCTAGTTGACAGTGATTCTTGCAAAGTAAAAGGCCTATTTGTTGAACCATCCTTACATGTTGTAAGAGATAGTAAGATCCATTTCTACCTGGCCAACACTTCTGGTCACAGTGTTCGCCTCAGAGCAAATACCAATCTTGTTGACCTTGTTCACTATCCTTACCCTGTTCAGGTAGAGGATGAGTTGTCACCTGACCAGTGGGTCGGTGCTATTTCTACCGGGGAGACCTCATCCACTTCACTGGATCAGTCTGTTCCACCAGTTGAGGAGAAAGACTTAGCTCCCACTGACTTCCCAGACAAGGTCAAGCGTTTGTTGACTCTGTTGAACAAACATCGTAAAGCCATTGCCTTACCAGGTGAGAAGATGGGTATAACAAACTTATTGTCCCATCGTATTCCACTTGAACCTGGTACTAGACCTATCTATATACCTGCGTACAGAATGCCTCATTCACAAGTTGCTGTCGCAGAAGAATTAACCAATCAAATGCTTGATGATGGAGTTATTGCACCTAGCAATTCACCTTGGAATGCACCTTTGATCCTAGTGCCTAAAAAGGATGGTACTTGGCGCCCAGTGATTGACTTTAGGAAGTTAAATGCCAAAACTATTCCAGATCGCTTCCCACTTCCTGTACTGGGTGATCTTGGACTTGTTACAAGGGTTTTGGCAAGTCCCTCTTCACGAGGACAGCCAAGAGCTAACTGTATTCTCCACTCCTACAGGTCATTATCACTTCCTCCATATGGCATTTGGATTACGATCCTCCCCTATCACGTTCTCAAGGCTCATGACTAATATCTTTAGAGGTCTCATAGGTAATACACTTATGATGTACTTAGATGACGTAATCGTCATGTCTAAAGACGTGGATACACACTTGAAAAGACTTGATGTAGTACTTGGTAAGCTTGAAGAAGCCAATTTAAAGATCAAACTGTCTAAATGTCAATTTTTCAGATCAGAAATTAAGTTTCTTGGTCACGTAGTCACTCCTAGAGGGGTTACGACTGACCAAAGTAAAGTAACTGCAGTACTAAATTTTCCAACTCCCAAAACTGCTGATGCCGTAAGATCCTTTGTGGGCTTAGCAGGTTTTTATAGATCTTTCATTGCCAATTTTTCTTCCATAGCTGCTCCTCTAACTGAGTTGCTTAAGAAAGATGCTCCTTTTGTTTGGCCCTTCCATCAAGAAAGAGCATTCCAAACTCTAAAAGAAAAGCTAACATCTGGTCCAATTTTGAAATTTCCAGATTTTTCTAAGCCCTTCTATCTGACAACTGATGCTAGTTCTATTGGCATAGGTGCCGTACTAGCTCAGAAGACCGAAGGCAAGTACAACGCAGTTGCTAGCCGAGTCCTTACAAAGGCTGAACGTAATTATACAGTAACTGAGCAAGAAGCTTTAGCAGTAGTATGGTCTTTAAAGCACTTCCAAGACATTATTTATCAGTACTCTGTTCATGTCTTGACAGACCATGCTCCACTGATACCTTTATTCCAGAACAAACAACCTACTGGAAGGTTAGCCAGATGGACCTTGACTATCCAAGAGTTCAATCCCACCTTTGAGCACTTACCTGGCAAGTCAAATGTAGTCGCAGATGCCTTATTGCGACATGTTAGTATAGTAACTGCAGACCCTCCATTTACTGCCGAAGATGTAAAGAATGCTCAACGAGCAGATCCCATGTGGTCTGGTGTGATTCGATTCCTGCTCCAGGAAGATCTTATTCTGACTGTGAAGCCACCAGCACCCATCAGTGACTTTGCCATGAACCAAGAATTACTGTATCGAACAGCCGAGTTGGGTACTCCTAGCAGAAGAGTATACCAGTTAGTAATTCCAGTCACTAGCGAATGTAGCCTTACAGCTAGTTCACGATGTACCAGGTGTTGCACACCCTGGTATGGATCATTCAGTAAAACAAGCCAGATTGAAATACTTTTGGTCTCGTATGGCAACTGATATTTCTGAGTATGCTAAGAAATGTAGCGTCTGTATGCAACAAAGGTAATGCTAATGGTCATAATCCAATCCAAGTGTATCCAACCACTAGCGAACAGTGGGAAAGAGTTGCACTAGATTTGTTAACTAATTTCCAATGTTCCCTCCAGGGCAACAAACATCTCTGTTATGGTAGACCATTTCACCAGATATTGTGAGTTAGTCCCTATTGCAGATAAGACTGCCGAGACAGTAGCTAAAGCATTTAATGAACGCATTATCTGCAGGCATACTACCCCTAAGTCCCTAGTAACAGATAATGGAGGTGAATTCTGTAATGATTCTTGAAAATTTGTGTACCTTGTACAAGATCTCTAAATCCACTATTGTTCCTCATCATCCTGCCAGCAATGGGTTAGCAGAATGAACCAATAAGAAAGTACTTGATGTGTTGAGAGCCACTATCAATCCCAACAGTGAAACTTGGGATGAAGTTATACCTGATGTGCAGTGTGCTATAAATTCTGCTTACAATGTTTCTATAGGTGACACTCCACATTATGCATTGTACGGTGTAGATAAACGTTTGCCTTACGAGTTGCTGTATTCTAATCCAAAACCAAATTACAACCCTGATGATTTCCTAGCAACTCGTACCAGCTTAGCTCAAAGTGTTTTTAGAAGAATCCGTGAAACACTTCATAAATCAACAGCAGAATTTACAAGAGTCGCAAACACTCGAGCAAAGCCATCCAAAATTAAAGTAGGTTCGAGAGTTATGCTGACTAACTTTAACAAAACGTCTGCAATGCCAAAGCTTGATCAAAAGTTTGTTGGTCCTTATCGAGTAGTTGAACATATCACTGGCAATAAGTATAAGGTTAGAGAAATTAGTACTGGTCAGTATAAAGAATCGCATTTAGATCATATGAAGTTAATATGTGATGATAATGATGATCCAACCCAGACTAATGTGACAGACTCTGACAATCCTCCTGATCCTGTACTCTCTACCTCTGAGACTCAGTCAGACGATCAACCTGAATGTCGTTATTCCCTACATACATGACAGGTATTGAGAAATCCTCAAGTATCATTTGTAACTACCAATTCAGAGCTGCCTCAAATACGGCATGAGTTAGCCAATGCTACAGAGTTTGATCCTTCCAGAGATGACACCCATTCTGCATAGGTCAATCTCACCCTAGCAGAGTTGGGGTTAAATGTAAACCTGTATAGATGAATAATTACAGTATCAACTTATTAACATTCAAGATTTTTTTTTTTGTATTCACGTTCTCTCCGAATTCTGAGATTTAACAGTCTAGATTTGAGTGCACCAAGTCTGCCTTCTCTTAAACACTTCTTTCTTTGTATATATTCCTTCCTCAGAATCAGTAGATCACATGAATACAGATTGATCGATCAAATTTTTTTTTATCACTTCTATTGTGTAATCTCAATGTTGAGTTTCATTCGATGAGTTGTGCTATATTATACCTTGTATTGCATTACAGTTTCATTACAGTTTCAGTTACGTAAGCTTCCATTCCAATATTCTACTTATATATGTTATAATGTTCAATTGTTGTGTACTTTGACATTGTATAGAATCAGCCCAAGCCGTACACCTGCCGTCTCTAGTTTGTATTAGTTGTATGTCGGGACAACATACATTAGCGTCGCCGAGCTCTCGGTAGTAGTACCAGTTCCTAGTAACCAGTTACCAGTAACCAGTGTACTAGTAGATGACTCACTCCCAACCATCTGTGTGAATCACTGACTGTTACTCATGTTGCTGCTGACCATAGCATGATTTCAAACACCGCTCACCCTGTAGGCACTGGTGGGTCAGTCTAAGATAGGGAGCAGAGAGAGGCAGGTCGGCTGATGGTGCTTCCCATTCTTCCTGTTATATATTATACATACTACCAGCCTACGCGAGTATTTTTACCCCATCCACGTAATCAAACCCACATGACACCACTATTTGCTATTAATTGCAGAATGGCAAGGAGGCTCAGAAGCTGGTGCAACACATCAACAGTGCCCGCCCAGTTCTGCATCACCGCTGCCTTCCCCTCTTTGCTGCCTTCCTGGAACACAAGAAGAAACATGGAACGACTCCTGAGAAGTGTGTAGCGAACAGATTATGTTGTTCTTCATCTTAGATTCATTAGACATTATGCGTAGTGTTAGATAGGATTCTTTGCTTAAAAGTGTTTCAGTTCCTTGTGTTAGAATAACTTTCACAGGTGTTCCGTAGCTCGATCAGTAGCACACTCGGCTCACACTCTGAGGTCCGGAGATCCAATCTCCTCCAGTATGGCAGGAAAACATTAGGGACGAGTTTCCATAAGACACCTGCTGTCCCTGTCCCTGTTCACCCATCAGTTTAGAATGGGTACCTGGGTGTTAGTAGACTGGTGTGGGTCACATCCTGGGACAAAACTGACCAAATTTGCGGGAAATGCACAGCATAACAAGGGTCTTTATAGTAGTATGTCACTGATGTCAGCTATGATCTGTATACCTTGTACATGTACTGGTAATACAGATATTATATATTACTGAAGTGTGCACTGACAGTGGTTTTTTACAAAGTATTGGTGCATAAAAGGTAAATAGGCAGACTTCTGGATGTGCATGTTATTAGACATAGATAAGTAACTAGAGTAAAAGCCATACGCTGTGTACACGGAGAATGGTCAGTGGGTAAGTGAGAAGCGTTGAAGTACATTAACTAAAGAGCGAAGTGGGTAGAATATGCAGAGAGAATACACAAATAACGCGCACAGGAGAGAGAAGCTCATATCTTGTGTGGGTGTTATTTGTATATGTTCCAGTCACGGTATTGTGCCTTGTTCTTGAGAGAGATTTAAGAAAGCAAAGACTTTAAACACTAATAATGTATTTTCCAGTCCAAAGAATTAGTTGTTTTTCAGAGCTGTTTGTTTTGTAGTGAAAAATTAATACCGCAACAGAAAAAAATAAGTGCTTATGCACCTGGAGAAGAGAGAAGTGTTGGTGAGAGAGAGATTTTGGGAGATGTTGAGTGGGTGGGGAGTTTTGAACCAAGCTAGAGTGAGTAAACATGAAGTTGATAAATTAGAAATGTGCAACTCTTGGGTATCTTTATTAAGGAAATGTTTCGCCACACAGTGGCTTCATCAGTCCATACGTAGGAGAATCTTGAAGAACAGGAGGAGAATGAGGTAATCAGTCCCTCAACCTTGAGTCGATGTGGTCAGTCCATCAATCTTGAGTAGAATACGGCATATGAGTGGAGAAGCAGCTTATAAACCGTATGGCAGGAGAGGTGCAGCAGTCATAGGTGGTGTCACATTTGTCCAATGTGGAAGTAGGTCGTGCCCACATTGGGCAAATGTGACACCACCAACAACTGCTGCACCTCTCCTGCCTACGGTTTATAAGCTGCTGCTCCACTCATATGCCGTACTCTATTCAAGATTGATGGACTGACCACATCGACTCAAGGTTGAGGGACTTATTACCTCATTCTCGTCCTGTTCTTCAAATTTCTCCTGTGTATGGACTGATGAAGCCACTGTGTGGCGAAACGTTTCCTTAATAAAGATACCCAAGAGTTGCACATGTGTCTAATTTATCAACGTGTCGGTTCTGTGAACCATTCATCTACAATCATGAAGTTGTGTGTGAAGTTCGTATTTTGACCACCAGAGACAAAACGCTGGAGGAAGGTAAACAAAGACATGATATGGGAGAGAGAGAGAGTTGCGAGGCGAGCATAGAATACATCTTATTTCAAAAGAAATAAGTTATCATGGCAAATGTTGCTCAAAATCTACACGCCAATGGCGATCAACTTCAAAACGAGCACTACCACAGGATCAAAACATTGTTTATCAATACGAAGAGTTGCGTTCGTTCATTAATAAGGAATGTCAGTTCTCTCTACACGACCTTAAGAAATTTTAGCATTTACAATAACTGAGAAAATTCTGAAAGCAAAATTACTCAACACAGCTGGAGATGCAGTTGTTTTTAAACGTGGCAAAAGAAACTTAAACGTAATAACAGCTAAAAACACAGAGCGACAGAAGAATGAAAGGCGCAGTTAACAGTAGTCGAAGCCGCAGCAACTATACTTGATATAAACCTGTAAAAAGTTCGGTACCACTATAACGTGTTTATCCCAGGCAAGCACCAGACGAGCCTGGCCTATGGCCGGACTCCGAGAGCAACAAAACACTCAAAACTCTTCAAAAGTATATGAAAAATTGGCGGGCCAGTCTCTGAAACCATTATGTACCTCTAATCTTTCGACTACCCCCCGACAGCATGGGTGCGAAGATATTAACTTCAAACTTGAGGTCGACTACCCCCCGACAGCATGGGTGCGAAGATATTAACTTCAAACTTGAGGTCGACTACCCCCCGACAGCATGGGTGCGAAGATATTAACTTCAAACTTGAGGTCGACTACCCCCCGACAGCATGGGTGTGAAGATATTAACTTCAAACTTGAGGTCGACTACCCCCCGACAGCATGGGTGCGAAGATATTAACTTCAAACTTGAGGTCGACTACCCCCCGACAGCATGGGTGCGAAGATATTAACTTCAAACTTGAGGTCGACTACCCCCCGACAGCATGGGTGCGAAGATATTAACTTCAAACTTGAGGTCGACTACCCCCCGACAGCATGGGTGCGAAGATATTAACTTCAAACTTGAGGTCGACTACCCCCCGACAGCATGGGTGCGAAGATATTAACTTCAAACTTGAGGTCGACTACCCCCCGACAGCATGGGTGCGAAGATATTAACTTCAAACTTGAGGTCGACTACCCCCCGACAGCATGGGTGCGAAGATATTAACTTCAAACTTGAGGTCGACTACCCCCCGACAGCATGGGTGCGAAGATATTAACTTCAAACTTGAGGTCGACTACCCCCCGACAGCATGGGTGCGAAGATATTAACTTCAAACTTGAGGTCGACTACCCCCCGACAGCATGGGTGCGAAGATATTAACTTCAAACTTGAGGTCGACTACCCCCCGACAGCATGGGTGCGAAGATATTAACTTCAAACTAACTAGAGGATATTAAACCAACTGACCACAACACTAATCGCCTCGATACCGAGGATGTGGCTCGCGAGATGTTACTTTTTTTGGTACAGTTAAGAAAAAAGTGCAAAAGAGAAAATATTAAAGTGTAGAGTAATCACGCATAATAAATGTGGCAAGATGACTGGATTACTTTAATCTGCCACATTGACTGCTCTTTCTCTGTACTTATTTATGTAGAGTTGCAGCCTGGTGGCCTGGTGGCTAAAGCTCGCGCTTCACACACGGAGGGCCCGGGTTCGGTTCCCGGCGGGTGGAAACATTTCGACACGTTTCCTTACACCTGTTGTCCTGTTCACCTAGCAGCAAATAGGTACCTGGGTGTTAGTCGACTGGTGTGGGTGGCATCCTGGGGGACAAGATTAAGGACCACAATGGAAATAAGTTAGACAGTCCTCGATGACGCACTGACTTTCTTGGGTTATCCTGGGTGGCTAACCCTCCGGGGTTAAAAATCCGAACGAAATCCTATCCTCCTATCCTAAAGCATTGTCAGTAGTCAAATTTGGAATTTTGTTGTAAAATATTGGAAACTTGTGTTTTCGACTTCGTAGATTTAAAAAAACACGTTAATGGAAATGGAACATTCTACTCAGGAGTAGTAATAAAATGTATAACTCAACAAAGAATGTATGAAAACAATATGCAAACCTAGTGGAATCTCGGTGTTCGAACGTCCCGGACCTCGAACTAACCGGAGTCCCGATAATTCTGTTCAGAAAAAGTTGACTCAGTCTTTGAACGTTTTCCTGGAGTACGAACGTTCTGACTTTTTTACAGTTCAGTTGTAAAAAACTTGACAGGAAAGCTCTGTTTCAGTGATGCTTTGAAATGACGTCTGACATTGACCTGTGATGCTTTGAAGTGAGGTCTGACATTGACCTGTGATGCTTTGAAATGACGTCTGACATTGACCTGTGATGCTTTGAAATGACGTCTGACATTGACCTGTGATGCTTTGAAATGACGTCTGACATTGACCTGTGATGCTTTGAAATGACGTCTGACATTGACCTGTGATGCTTTGAAATGACGTCTGACATTGACCTGTGATGCTTTGAAATGACGTCTGACATTGACCTGTGATGCTTTGAAGTGAGGTCTGACATTGACCTGACAATCAGACTTTTGGAAGAGTCAGTTTAACATCCTCCAGTACCTGGGAAATACGGTTTCCCACATCCAACTTTTCGCAGTTCCAACATCACCTAGGAATCAAGTTCAAACACTGGGGTTCCACTGTATAGACCTTCCCGAGTTCAGAATTGCAAATATCCCTGAGAGGATAATTTACATATTCTAAAATTGCAAATTTTTCTCTTACACTTTTCAAGTTTTTTTTCATTTATGATGTAAAAATTAATAATTTTGTACGAAAAGAACCTTGGAAAACTTACCTGATTTTATAACAAGCGCAGTTTAATTTAGCCTATTACAACTAAATATACTTTTTTGACAAGTTTACAATAATTTAATAAACCACAATGATATGTTTTTTTACGTTAGGCTCAGAATGATGTTTGTAAAATCATTGCACACATTAATTTTTGCTTGCTTTATTTGGCAAGAAGAGCATTGCTATTTAAGCCAAAATCGCAAATTTTACTTATTTGGCACGACATGTGTGTGTGTACAAACAATCACAGACAGGTTATCTTAATGCAAGACAAGAGACAGGGGTTGGAAATTTTAAGCTGAAGTACTTCCACACTTCTCAGTGCATCATCAGGACTCAAGAAATCGTAATGACACGATTGCAAACAAACCATACCCCCGTCTGTAAAAACTTGCATTTGTGGTCACAGAGGTGCCTGTGCTAACCTTCCTATGGTGTAGAAATATACCTAGTTGGATGAATCTTATTGTGGCTAGCTGGTCTAGTGGCTAACGCGACGGGCTGGAGTTTTGAGACTATGACCGCGGGTTCAATCCTGGCCGGGGGTATGGTTCATCATCAGGAGCTGTGCAATGTTGTGAATGTGAATTTACTCGAGCTTAAGATCCCCCCCCATGGCTTGTCTTGCATATATGTGTGTGTGTGTGTGTGTGTGTGTGTGTGTGTGTGTGTGTGTGTGTGTGTGTGTGTGTGTGTGTGTGTGTAGACAAGGTGATTATATTGATAGTCTCATCTTGCAGTGACAGCTTAAAGCCAGATTTTATTTTAACATGTATAATTATTTCAGATCAGTGTATGAGGGTATGGGTTTGGTAGAACTGGTGGATCGTCTGCTACGTAAGAGACCCGTCACTTTCTTCGGTCGAGATGACCAATACCTCCTACGTAACAAGTCTCGAGGTAAAGGAGGCTTTGAGAAGATTGGCTCAGACCAGGAAATACTTCCACTGTGTCTAAGGGATTATCTCAGCTATGACGAAATGAAACTCTCTGCTTTGCTGTCTGTGTCGTCTCAATCATTCTTTGTCAATAATGGAAGCCGTACGAATAAGGGGATTCCAGGAAATCCTGGTAGTTTCCAGGAAGAAGGTGTTATTGTTGGAATAGTTGGTGCCAGGTTAAAGAAGAAAGGTTACATGGAGTGGCAAGACTGTATAGTAAGCGAGGACCAGAATACTGTGCAACATGGTTACGGGAGTGTGGAAGGAGCACCTCGGCTACAGCACCTATGGTCACATATGTGGAAAGTAACCCTGCCCGAATGGAAGACTGTTTCAGGACAGGATGAAAATATCTTAAAATTTAGCAAGCAGAACTACCTCAACATCCCTGTGTACAAGGCGCGCATGCAGCTTGCTGCGGAGACTCTCTTGGCTGAGGCCAAGTCTCAAGCCATGTCAGCAGGTCTAAAGGCTTACATCCACGTTGTTGGTCTTGGTTTGGGTGTATGGCGTGCATGTCACCAGCAAGACGACATATTTGTTGACGCTTGGGGAGCAGCTCTCCATTGTTTTGACACCTCACACATTGCGCATGTCGATTTCAGCTGGATTGATGTTAACTCATGTCGTGGTGTATGCGACGGAGAGCTTTTTCCAGGAACTAACGTCATGTTACACTTCTCTAAACGATCGCTGCATGACCCTGTGCCCCCGGGGACCTTGCTGGTCACCAGCTATGCTTGGGACGGCAACTCACTTCCTGGAAATGAATTCTGGATTGGGAAACTAGCTAGTACTGGCGATGGTGCAGCAGCCTGCTCCACAGGCGTAACTGAGTTACACAACACGCACATCAACGCCAATGTTTGTGGGAACAACTTGCATGTTGCTGGACCCTGGGGAGTGATGCACGTTGGCGAGTATTGCAGCCGTGCCCTCAGCCGCATGCACTAACTCTGCATCAAACCAGCTGGCTCTGATGCGATTCATCTAACTAGGTATATTTTTAGCTGGATTAATCTTATTCGAGCCATTGTCCCAGTGTTTAATGCACTGGCCAAGGATTCAACTCTTACCTGTTCCATGATCTATGTTCTACCATATCTCTGCAAGAGGAATAGGTGATGCAAAGCCAAGAAGGAGATCCAAAATGTAATTCCACATTTTCCAGCATAAAAGACGCACAACAGAAGTATCATAATGGTAAATCAATAATCACACTCAAGGGCTAATTATCCTCTTACTTTACACTAAAGCATAACAAAGCCTACCCTTAACCCTAACCTTGACCATTTAAGGTGAAGGTTGATTTTCCAAGACTGTGGGCAAACAGATGCGCCTTATATGCTAGAAAATATGGTACTTAGCTGCTACTGCTGCTCAGGCTACAAGTTGGTGCCTGGATAATAAAATATTTCACCAGATGATTTAGTTTTTGTGATTCTTCGCACTTGGTGACCCTCACTACTTAACACATTACCATAAAACACATGAGTATATAATGAAATTTAGCGCTAAACCCGAAATGGTCATACTACAGATTTACAAAATATAATGATTACATAGATTTTGTGTAAAATGAAGCCTTCATAATTATGTACAGATTCATACTAAGTGAAAGGCTCAGGATTGAACCTGATTGACTCCCATTTCTCCATGGGCTGTATGACCACTACAGGTTTAACGCTCCTCACATGAGTGCATAATGGTATGAACACACGAGATTTTGATAATAGCAAATATTTTAAATTATCTAATAATCACATTTTAAGACACTTCGACATAGCGAGCAAGACACTTCCAGACATACTGAGCAAGACGCTTCCAGATATAGTGAACAAGATGCTTCCAGACATAGCGTGGAAGACGCTTCTCTCTCTCTCTCTCTCTAGCGAGGAAGATGCTTCCAGACAGTGAGCAAGACACTTCCAGACATAGCGAGCAAGACACTTCCAGACATAGCGAGGAAGACGCTTCCAGACATAGCGAGGAAGACGCTTCCAGACATAGCGAGGAAGACGCTTCCAGACATAGCGAGGAAGACGCTTCCGGACATAGCGAGGAAGATGCTTCCGGACATAGCGAGGAAGACGCTTCCGGACATAGCGAGCAAGATGCTTCCAGGCATAGCGAGCAAGACGCTTCCAGGCATAGCGAGCAAGACGCTTCCAGGCATAGCGAGCAAGACACTTCCAGGCATAGCGAGCAAGACACTTCCAGACATAGTGAGCAAGACACTTCCAGACATAGCGAGCAAGACGCTTCCAGACATAGCGAGCAAGACGCTTCCAGAGATGATAGAAGTAGACACAAACATGGTAGGATAGGCACTTACAGAAATCGTGGGGAAGACGCAGGCATGGTAGGGTTAGACACAAACATGGCATAGACAGGCATGGGGTAGACACTTGTAGGCATTGTGGGGATACACACACAAATGGTGGGGTAGACAGACATGGAGTTATAGACACTTGTAGACATGGTGAGGGGAAAGGCTGCAATTATCTACAGTCAAACGGTATTTAGTCAGATAATTGATTACCTGAAATCATCCCAAGGAAATAAAGGCTTCAGGAAGACCGGACACGGAATACAGACTTGGGAAACAGAGGCTTAGACCTCGTTCAAGGACAAAAACCTTAGGGTAAACAGTGTCTGAGGATCGCGTCTGCAGGCAATACCCGTCTGGGAAGTCTCTGAGCAACCTTCAGGGATCTCAACGAAGTCATTCAACCTAGAGGGGGGTTCTGGGGGGCCAACGCCCTCACTAACCGGTCCATGACCAGGCCTCGCGATGGATCAAAGCCCATTTCACAAAATATATCAGGCTAGTTGAAGTACGCAGCACCAGCATGGAACCCACAATTAAGAAACTGGAGAAAGCACAAAGGTAAACAATACGACTTGTTCCAGAGCGATGGGCAATGAACTGTTAGGAAAAAAATAAAGAAAATGAATAACGACACTAGAGGAGAGACGCACTAGGGGAGACACGACAGTAACATACAAAATCTCCAGTGACTGGACACATTATTGTATCATGGCTGAGCGCTAAACCCGTAGGGATTACACAGCGCCTGTGGGGGGAGGGTAGAAGGTATTCAACCTCAATTCAGGGAACTGGAGCACAGATCCAATTCCCTGGATCAAGATCCCCTCACCAGCATCAAGGAACCTCCCTTGAGGGGCTGGATTGACACAAAGAGGTAAGAAACAGGTACACAAGAGTATAATTGGAATTTAAAGTCACAGACGAGTCACTGATATTGGGAAATATTTCTTCAGCCTCATGAAGGTCAGGAAATGGAATGACATGGACCAAGCAGTAAAGGCTAAATGCACAGCTTTAGGAAAAGGTATGAAGAATCCATGGAACTAGCAGAGAGTGTAGACAAGCACCAAGTTGAGAGGCAGGGTCAGGAGCTGTACCTTCAACCTTGCAGCCACAAATAAGTGAAATGGATAAACACGAACACACAGAAAACGAAAGCAGCTGAGGGAGAGGACACGTAAACGAAAGAGGCTAGACAGAGAAGGATAGAGTAACCAGAGAACAACCAGAGCTGGACAGAGCAACAAGCACAAACACCCACAGAACCCAACAGCCAAACACACTATCCTAGTAGAAACCACACTCCACACAGCCCCCACTCCACATGATGCAGTAGAATCCCCATAGCACACTGCCAGTTCCCCCAACCCCCACAAACCCTCCAAAACACAGGTGTTGGAGAGGAAACGGAAGATATGGTAAACAACACTGATGGAATAATGGAAAAGTAGGAGTTGCAGCACGAAAGAATCACAGAGGCATCACCAGACATCATAGCTCTCACAGAAACCAAGGTCACAGGAATGATAACACATGCCATCTTTCCAAGTGGATATCAGATCCTGAGAAAAGACAGGAAGCAGAGGGAGTGAAGTAGTGGCAATACTCATCAAAAACCAATAGAATTTTGAGGAGCTGAAGAGAGGAGACAGAAAAAAGACTACATAATAGGAACACTTCAATCTGGAGGTCCTCAGGTGGCAATTGCAGTGATGTATAACCCACCACAGAATAGCAGGAGGCCAAGACAAGAATATGATGAAAATAACAGAGCGATGGTTGACACATTGACTGAAGTGGCCAGAAGGGCCTATGTAAGCAGGGCAAAGCTTCTGGTTGTGGGCGGTTTCTATCACAAAGAAATCGAATGGGAAAACCTGGAGCCACATGGGGGCCCAGAAACGTGGAGGGCTAAGATGATGGAGGTAGTCCTGGAAAACCTCGTGCATCAACACGTTAAGGAGACTACCAGAGAGAGAGAGAGAGAGAGAGAGAGAGAGAGAGAGAGAGAGAGAGAGAGAGAGAGAGAGAGAGACGAACCAACAAGATTGGACCTAGTATTCACCTTTACCGCAGATAATGAGGACGTCACATACGAAAGGCCCCTAGGAGCTAGTGACCTCGTGGTTCTGAGCTTCGAATACATAGATTTACAAGTGGAAAGGGAAACAGGAAGGGCAGGACTTATGAAGCCGAACTACAAGAGAGGGAACTACACAGGCATCAGGAACTTCCTGCACGGGGTTCAGTGGGACAGAACTGGCAGGGAAATCAGTCAACGAGATGATGGAATGTGACAATATGCAAGGTAGTAGAGGAAAGGTTTGTACCCAAGGACAACAGAAATAATGAGAAAGCCAGAACGAGTCCTTGGTTCACCAGAGGTGCCAAAAATAAATGCGCTAGAGAATGGAAGAAGTATAGGAGGTAAAGGATCCAGGAGAATAAGGAGAGCAGTCAAAGAGCCAAAAATAAATATGCACAGGTAAGGAGGGAGACCCAACGATAATATGAAAATGACAGAAAAATCCGACCCAAAGGTGTTGTAGAGTCGCATCAGAACAGTCAAGGACCAGGTAATCAGGCTGACGAAGGAAGGAGGCGAGATCACAAGAAATGACCGAGAAGTATACGAGGAGCTCAGTGTGAGATTTAAAGAAGTATTCACAGTGGAGACAGAAAGGACTCCTGCAACATGGAGTGGTGGGGTACACCACCAAGTGCTAGACAATACAAACAACCAAGAAGAGGTGAGGAGACTGCTGAGCGAACCAGATGCCTCAAAGGAGATGGGACCGGATATCTCTCCTTGGGTCCTGAGAGAAGGACCATAGGCATTGTGTACCACTAACAACAATCTTCAGTACATCTATCGAAACAGGACAGCTCTGAGGCGTGGAAGACAGCAAATGTAGACCCAATTTTTAAAAACAGAGACATGCAGCCTTAAACTACAGACCAGTGTCACTGACATGTATAGTATGCAAAGTCTTGGAGAATATTATCAGAAGAGTGGTGGAACACGTAGAAAAGGAGCTTATCAACGACAACCAGCACGGATTCAGGGACGGGAAATCCTGTCACAAACCTACTGGAGTTCTGTGACAGGGTGACAGCAGTAAGACAAAAGAGGGGTAGATTGTATTTTCTTGGACTTCAAGGCTTTTGACACATTTCCACACAAGAGATTAGTGCAAAAGCTGGAGGAAAAGGCAGGTGTAACAGGGAAGGCACTATAATGGATCAGATAATACCTGACAGGAAGGCAGCAGAGTCATGAGGTGTCAGAGTGGGCGCCTGTGACAAGCGGGGTTCCACAGGGGTCAGTCCTAGGGCCGGTTCTGTTTCTGGTGTATGTGAATGGCATGACAGAAGGAATAGACTCAGAAGTGTGTCTGTTTGCAGATGATGTGAAGTTAATGAGGAGAATTCAACCTGAGAAGGGCCAGGCAGGACTACAAAGAAATCTGGACAGTTTGCAGACCTGGTGCAGCAAATGGCTCCTGGAGTTCAACCCAGCCAATTGCAAAGTCATGAAGATCGGGGAAGGGCAAAGAAGACCGCAGACAGAATACAGTCTAGGGGGTCAAAGGCTACAAACCTCACTCAAGGATAAGGATCTTGGGATGAGTAGAACACCGAACACATCTCCTCAGGCGCACATCAGCCAAATAATTGCTGCTGCATACGGACAACCAGCAAACCTTAGAATAGCATTGCGACATCTCAGTAAGAGTGGTTCAGGACTCTGTACACCGTGTACATCAGGCCTATATTGGAGTATGCAGCACCAGTCTGGAACCCACACCTTGCCAAGCATGTACGGAAATTTGAGAAAGTGCAGAGGTTTGCAACAAGACTAGTCCCGGAGCTAAGGGGCATGTCCTTCGAGGAGAGGTTAAAGGAAATCTACCTGACAATACTGGAGGACAGTAGTAATATGGGGAATATAACAAAATACCGAGAGGAATTGACAACGTGGACAGAGACAGGATGTTCCAGAGATGGGACACAACAACGAGGTGTCACAATTGGAAGTTGAAGACTCGAGAGGAATCACAGGGATGTTAGGAAGTATTTCTTCAGTCACAGAGTTGTCAGGAAGTGCAGGATCCATACATAACTTTAAGAAGAGGTATAATAAAACTCATGGAGCAAGGAGAGAAACCTAGTAACGATCAGTGAAGAAGCGGGCCCAAACTAGGTGAGCACAACTAGGTACACACCTCAAAAAGCAGTTTCCCTGAATTTAGAAATATCTAAAGCAAGAGTAATTATTCGTCATAGCGAAATAAAACTTGCATCAGAGCTTACTAAGTCAGGAAACACACACACACACACACACACACACACACACACACACACACACACACACACACAAACTGTATAATATATATATATATATATATATGCAAGGAATTCGCGAGAGCATGCGAAATATACACAAACACTGATCTCTGGCTGAAGGAGACTCGAACCTACGAACCTTAGGACAAGGTACGCAGTGCTTTACCAATCTACCCACACTGGACCAATACCTTGGCGTGTAGCATGAGCTACACGTTTGATCCAAGGCAGCCAGCTTTCAGGGAGAAGGCTTACAGCTTTTCATCTCATCCCCTGCATGCATCAGCCTTACTAGAGATTTGAACAATGCAAGGAATTCGCGAGAGCAGGCGAAATATACACAAACACTGATCTCTGGCTGAAGGAGACTCGAACCTACGAACCTTAGGACAAGGTACGCAGTAAGCCTTCTCCCTGAAAGCTGGCTGCCTTGGATCAAACGTGTAGCTCATGCTACACGCCAAGGTATTGGTCCAGTGTGGGTAGATTGGTAAAGCACTGCGTACCTTGTCCTAAGGTTCGTAGGTTCGAGTCTCCTTCAGCCAGAGATCAGTGTTTATTATATTTATATATATAATATATATATATATATATATATATTATATATATATATATATGTCGTGCCGAATATGTAAAACTGGTCAATTAGCAAGAACTCATTTAAAATTAAATCCTTTCTAAAATTTTCTCTTATATGTTTAACATTAATCAAAAAAATATATCTTTAATGTAAAAAATTTTAATTTTGCACCGAAAGAAACTTAGAAAACTTACCTAACCTTATTATAACAAGAACAATTTATTTTAGCCTAACCCAACTAAATATATTTTAGATTTGTTTACAATAATTTAATACTAAACAAACACAGTGAAATATATTTTTTTCGTTAGGTTCAGAATGATTTTGGCGAAATTATTGCATACACAAATTTTCACTTGTCCTATATGGCAAGATGAACGTTGCTATTTAAGCCAAGATCGCAAGTTCTGCCTATTCGGCACGACATATATATATATATATATATATATACATATATATGAGAGAGACAGAGACAGAGACAGAGAGACAGACAGTGAGAGAGAGAGAGAGACAGAGAGACAGAGAGACAGAGAGAGACAGAGAGAGACAGAGAGAGACAGAGAGACAGAGACAGAGAGACAGAGAGACAGAGAGACAGAGAGACAGAGAGACAGAGAGACAGATTCATATTAATCCCTATCTTAGGAATGTAAATATTCGAAATATTAGTTACAAGTGGTCAACGTTCACACATGTACATATGGACCTTGAACGTAACAGAGTAACGCCCATAAAAGTAACACTTGGTCATACATTTCCTGTTCCACTTGTTATGGATTTAGTCTAGTTACAGGTGAAGCAACACTCTAGTCTGTTTATTCTCTCATTTCTACGGTTATGTAATACCTTTTAAACTGTTACTGGTGATCAGTAACCATCGCTTGTTCTAGGGAACAGTAACCTAAGACTGGGAGATCTACGGACTTTCAAAATGAATGTGGTGAGGTAGGCTTGTTGGTGGGTCTAGCTTGTGCCTAGAGGGACGCCAGTAGTACTGTGCAACTCAATCCTGCCTTTCCCAGCATTCCATCCACGGAATGTTCCTTCAAGTTACCTTGCTACTCCACCTGGCATACCATACATAAGGAATCCTTATTGCTGAGGCTTCCCCAGCGATAATTTACGACTGTTCCTCCTGACGACTGGTAATAAACAGATTAAGATTCAGGTATCTGGTACCTGTCCTGCGCTACAGGTTACGCGCACCAATACCACCACAAGACGACTTCCACTTTCACTCTATTTAAACACTTAATATTTTCGAGAAAACAGATGAAAATCTAAATAAATTTTCAACACTTAATTATAAAATCAGGTCGTATTATGAACTAGCAACGGAAGAGACATGAAAGAAAATAGGATAAAACGTGTGAAATAAGGATACTGGACTCCTGCCAGGTGAGTCTGCCCACAGGTGTTAGTGGCAGGAAGACAGTAAACAAAAGGTCCTCTTACCTGGATATACTTCACGTCTCAGTTCTACCTGTCGCTGGTGAGTTTGTCTTGTATCAGTTCTCAAAAGAGCTTTCCCGCTGGCTTTTAACATGCATTCCAACCAATTTTTGAGTTAAATGGAAGAAACAGGGGGAAAAGAGTGTTGCGAGTGTTTCGAAGAGGCGGCGGCGAGGGTAACACACTGAGAACACTGAGGACAGTGTCAGGGGATACTGAAGTGGCTTTCAGGGTCCATGTCGCCAGTTGTTGCATAGTCCTGATTCAGTCTGATTCACAAGTTGCACTAGATCATTCGTAATTATCAGCCCTTAGACCCTCACCTCCACCTGTCCTCTGATTACGTGAAGAACAGAGTACAACCAAGTCAGATGCGAACCAAGAGGACAACTTATACAAGAGTACAGATGATTTTAACTTACGTGAGTGTGAGAGGAGAGTTGTTGAGACTGACGTCGTATAGGTGTGGCTAAACACTAACAGACAGTCGCCTTGCGCTACGCCTCTGTTTATATTTACTACCAGTACATGTACAAGGTATACCAGTACATGTACAAGGCATACCAATACATGTACAAGGTATACCAGTACATGTACAAGGTATACCAGTACATGTACAAGGTATACCAGTACATGTACAAGGTATACCAGCACATGTACAAGGTATACAGACCATAGCTGACATCAGTGACATGCTACTATATAGAAAGTTCCTTGTTATGCTGAGCATTTCCCGCAAATTATGTCAGTTTCATCGCAGGATGTGACCCACACCAGTCCACTAACACCCAGGATGTGACCCACACCAGTCCACTAACACCCAGGATGTGACCCACACCAGTCCACTAACACCCAGGATGCCACCCACACCAGTCCACTAACACCCAGGATGTGACCCACACCAGTCCACTAACACCCAAGATGTGACCCACACCAGTCCACTAACACCCAAGATGTGACCCACACCAGTCCACTAACACCCAGGATGTGACCCACACCAGTCCACTAACACCCAGGATGTGACCCACACCAGTCCACTAACACCCAGGATGTGACCCACACCAGTTCACTAACACCCAGGATGTGACCCCCACCAGTCCACTAACACCCAGGATGCCACCCACACCAGTCCACTAACACCCAGGATGCCACTCACATCAGTCCACTAACACCCAGGATGTGACCCCCACCAGTCCACTAACACCCAGGAAGCCACCCACACCAGTCCACTAAGACCCAGGATGCCACCCACACCAGTCCACTAACACCCAGGATGCCACTCACATCAGTCCACTAGCACCCAGGATGTGACCCCCACCAGTCCACTAACACCCAGGATGCCACCCACACCAGTCCACTAACACCCAGGATGCCACTCACATCAGTCCACTAACACCCAGGATGTGACCCCCACCAGTCCACTAACACTCAGGATGCCACCCACACCACTAACACCCAGGATGCCACCCACACCACTAACACCCACGTACCAATTTTAAACTAATGGGTGAACAGACAGCAGGTGTCTTATGGAAACACGTCCCTAATGTTTTCCAGCCGTACCGGAGGAGATTCGAACCCCGGACCTCAGTGTGCGAGGCGAGTGCGCTAACGATACCAATACACCAAGAAGTGTATTCCAGCGTATAAATGCTGAGAATTTAATTCCTCTTTTAGGAGTACAAGTATCCTTTTCTGGTGGTGAAAAGGTCGAGTGTGCCTTTAATGACCTTAAAAACAAAGGCACAATACTTTGACTGGAACAATAAACAAAACCCGAACTTAAACTTACGACTGCATTTCGCTCCGAACTGAATCATTTACAAAGGTTAGTAGATGAATGGTTCAGAGAACCGACATGTTGATAAATTAGACACATGTGCAACTCTTGGGTATCTTTATTGAGGAAACGTTTCGCCACACAGTGGCTTCATCAGTCCATACGTATGAGAAACTTGAAGAACAGGAGGAGAATGAGGTAATCAGTCCCTCAGCCTTGAGTCGATATGTTCAGTCCATCAATTCTACTCAACATTGATGGACTGAACACATCGACTCAAGGTTGAGGGACTGATTACCTCATTCTCCTCCTGTTCTTCAAGATTCTCCTACGTATGGACTGAAGAAGCCACTGTGTGGCGAAACATTTCCTCAATAAAGATACCCAAGAGTTGCACATGCGTCTAATTTATCTACAAAGGTCAGAGTAAGACAAACGACCCTAGTGTAGCTATCATGTGGGAGTTCGACACGTGGATTAGGTAAGGAATACTCACGTAGGCTGGTATTACGTATAATTACAGATAAGGTGGTTAACGCATTTACAACCGTGACCTATCTCTCTCGCTCCTCTCGTAACACTGACTGACTGCCTGGCCGCCCAGTACCCATATGTGAGAGGGTCTTATGCCAGGTCAGCACAATATGAATAGACAGTGACTCAGGCAGAGACGGTTGGTCGTGAGTCAACTGGCACAGTGGTTACTGGTAACTGGTTACTACTACTGAGATAGCCGACAGGTTTGAAACTAATAACCAATGGTCTGATGACCATGTGGTTGGAAAGGGAAATTATATCAGACGGTTCGGTAGTACAAATACATTCAGTGAACGCTAGACCCTCAAGGCTCTACCAACCATTGGCCCCATAAGGGGGGGCACGGGGGGACGCGCCCCCTGTGACACCATAGACCCTCTAAAGGTGAAACTAACGCACAAAACATTGCTGCAGAACTGTAAGAGAAGAATTCCTCGTTACTACTATAAGTATTTTCCTGTTCGGTTTATGGGGCTTAAACGTTCTCATTAGTAGTGACGTAACTGGTCATGCAGTAGTGACGTAACTGGTCATGCAGTAGTGACATAACTGGTCATGCAGTAGTGACATAACTGGTCATGCAGTAGTGACATAACTGGTCATGCAGTAGTGACATAACTGGTCATGCAGTAGTGACATAACTGGTCATGCAGTAGTGACGTAACTGGTCATGCAATAGTGACGTAACTGGCCATGCAGTAGTGACGTAACTGGCCATGCAGTAGTGACGTAACTGGCCATGCAGTAGTGACGTAACTGGCCATGCAGTAGTGACGTAACTGGTCATGCAGTAGTGACGTAACTGGTCATGCAGTAGTGACGTAACTGGCCATGCAGTAGTGACGTAACTGGCCATGCAGTAGTGACGTAACTGGCCATGCAGTAGTGACGTAACTGGTCATGCAGTAGTGACGTAACTGGTCATGCAGTAGTGACGTAACTGGTCATGCAGTAGTGACGTAACTGGAGTTGCCTCCCCCATCCCCTTGATCTTGGATTTCATGGGGGGACACCAAAGATGCCACCCAGGGGGACACCAAAGATGCCACCCCGGGGGACACCAAAGATGCCACCCCCCTTGGGGCACCAAAGATGCCACCCCCGGGAGACACCAAAGATGCCACCCCGGGGGACACCAAAGATGCCACCCCGGGGGACACCAAAGATGCCACCCCGGGGGACACCAAAGATGCCACCCCGGGGGACACCAAAGATGCCACCCCGGGGGACACCAAAGATGCCACCCCGGGGGACACCAAAGATGCCACCCCGGGGGACACCAAAGATGCCACCCCGGGGGACACCAAAGATGCCACCCCGGGGGACACCAAAGATGCCACCCCGGGGGACACCAAAGATGCCACCCCGGGGGACACCAACCCTAGCAACGCCACTGCAGTACCAACATTTCTCATTAGCATACACACTCAACCCCCAACGTCGCGGTGTACATAGATGGTACACAGTACCGACAATATGAATTAGACTTGTAAATTATCTGGGAATTTTTATTGTAGGCGTTCCGCCAGCCAGTGACTATTAATACAAGGACAAGACAATAGTCGGTCCCTTCACCGACTCCGAGACAGTGGTCGGTCCCTTCACCGACTCCAAGACAGTAGAACTAGTCTTGGAGTCGGTGAAGGGACCGATTACCTCATTCCGTATACACTTCTCCACCCGTCAAGGGAGGCTCCTTGACGCTGGTGAGGGGGTCTTGATCTAGGGAATTGGATTTGTGCTCCGGTTCGCTGGTGGGGGGGGCTCTTGATCTAGGGAATTGGATTTGTGCTCCGGTTCGCTGGTGAGGGGCTCTTGATCTAGGGAATTGGATTTGTGCTCCGGTTCGCTGGTGGGGGGCTCTTGATCTAGGGAATTGGATTTGTGCTCCGGTTCCCTGAATTCAGCCTGAATACCTTCTATCCCCCCACATGCGCTGTATAATCCTACGGATTATAATAATCCAGTCTACACATTATGTTCTGAATGGTGAAACGTCTACAAATAGACACACCCAGATGTACATGTGTCTAATTCTCGACTTAAACTGTCTAACAGTTATACGAAGCAGTTTTATCTCTGGGAATTTTGATTATTAGATAATTACTCATAAGTGGGAATGAGAAACTTGAATCGAAATAATTTGCGAAGTAAAGTTTGGTCTCGAAATAATTTGCGAAGTAAAGTTTGGTCTCGAAATAATTTGCGAAGTAAGTTTGGCTCGAATAATCGAAAAGTTTGGTCTCGAAATAATTTGCGAAGTAAAGTTTGGTCTCGAAATAATTTGCGAAGTAAAGTTTGGTCTCGAAATAATTTGCAAAATAAAGTTTGGTCTCGAAATAATTTGCGAAGTAAAGTTTGGTCTCGAAATAATTTGCGAAGTAAAGTTTGGTCTCGAAATAATTTGCAAAATAAAGTTTGGTCTCGAAAAATTGCGAATAAGTTTGGTCTCGAAATAATTGCAAATAAAGTTTGGTCTCGAAATAATTTGCAAAATAAAGTTTGGTCTCGAAATAATTTGCAAAATAAAGTTTGGTCTCGAAATAATTTGCGAAGTAAAGTTTGGTCTCGAAATAATTTGCAAAATAAAGTTTGGTCTCGAAATAATTTGCAAAATAAAGTTTGGCCTCGAATTTACAAAAATAAAGTTTGGTCTCGGAATAATTTACAAAATAAAGTTTGGTCTCGAAATAATTTACAAAATAAAGTTTGGCCTCGAAATAATTTACAAAATAAAGTTTGGTCTCGAAATAATTTACAAAATAAAGTTTGGTCTCGAAATAATTTACAAAATAAAGTTTGGCCTCGAAATAATTTACAAAATAAAGTTTGGCCTCGAAATAATTTACAAAACAAAGTTTGGCCTCGAAAGAGTGTGGGATATAGACTTTATTTCAGTGTTTGTTATGGAAAAACTGTATAGCCCTTGTGGTTTAGCGCTTCATTTTGATTATAATAATAATATAATGGGAAAACTGGATTTGAAAGACTTTAAAAGGAAAAATTAATTTTGAAAATGTTGGGAAGAAAACTCTTGAAAAAAATATCTGGGGAAAAACTAAAATTTAAAAATTTTGTGAAGGGAAAACAAGTGTACCTGAAAGA